CAGCTACTGGAATCACTGAACTTCAGAGATTAAAACAAGTCAGACAGGAGGCCCACATTTCCCCTGGCCCCCAGCAGGGAGTCACCATAATCCAGCCTCCCAAACAGTTAGGACAATGAACATCAAATTCCCTAGAGCTCCCCTTCTGAGTTTATTAAACCTGTCAGGCATCCTGAAAATAAGGAAACAGCAATGGGAAACCCAGAGCATTGTTCAGACTCTGTTGAGGATCCCCTACCTGAGCAGAGATAGAAGCAACAATCCTGTGTATTATGTCCAACATACCATGGACCTGTGAAGCAGTAGCTGAATCTGGTTTTTTTTTAATTATTATCATTTCCCAAGTGCCTGGCACATAGTTACTCAAAAGTATTTGTTGCCTAAATGACAATGAATGATGGCCTGGCACCCCAGGCATCCATATGGGCAGAGAAGAAAGTCTATTTATTTATTTATTCAACAAATATTTATTAAGCATCTCTTCTGTGCCAGATACTGTCTCAGGCTCTGTCCCAGACACAGCAGGAAGCAAAATAAGTACTTGCCTGATGGAGTTCATGTTTTACTAGATGCAAAGGTGAGACTCTGCATGCTCCTGAAAAGACTTTGTAAACCACAAACATTCAGGAATTATTTATTAAGTGACTACAGTATGTGTAAGTGACGGGGACCAGATGATATGACAGGCACATCTGGGATCCCAGATTCAATCCTTATTAGATTATTTCATCTTCAAGGATAGGACCCTGAATCTGGATCCCATGTCAGTCAGCTTTCAGAGTTTCCTAAGTAAGGGAAATGAGATTACCTCTTTGGTACATCTGTCTTCATCTGTTGGTGAGCAGAAGCCACTGTGTAAGTACCATGTGCATGCCCAAAACACCACATAAGACTGCAGGATAGAAATAAACCAAACATCTTTAGCTAAGAGGTACCAGAGGTCCAAAAAATAACTCTAATAAGTTATAATGAAATACCAGGGCTCAAAGAGTGCTCCCAAAGATGAGCAATCTGGCTCTTCATCTGTCCCTCACACACCCTTGCTAGATGTAACTCTAAGCCTGAGTCAGCAAATATTTCCCAATCCTGGAAGTAGTATGATCACTCCCAAGCAAGCAGACACTGGCTCTGGTGATTTTATCAAGGTGGGGCAGAAGGATTTGGTAAGGTAAGGAAAGAACTAGTGTCCAACACCAGTTAGGGTGGCAGCTAATAAATGGAGATGCCCTGAGTCATGCTTGACCAAAGACCTGTGGAGACAGGACTGGAGTCACACCCCAATCACTAGCATGGTGAGTTATGAAGGCTAGGAACCATCTACCAAGGTAGAAGATCCACATGTCTGAAACCTGATGCAATGGGCCATTCTCTCCCAGCCACAAGCCAGTACCCAGCTCTCCTCTGATACCCTAGAATCCAGCTCCAGCAAGTAGCCCTTCCTCCTGGCTCCAAAGGCAGAGAAAAATGCTCAGGGACGTCAAACCATCTCCAAGAAACGGCCACTGGGCAATCCGAAATAACACAGTGCAGACAAGAGCAGCAGGCACAGGGCTTCTGACGTGATACAGGCAAGGACCTGGCAGGACAGACAATACACAGAGATGCTGGATAGGGAGGAGGAAGAGAATGTTTCTAGTGTGGACAATGCTGAGCAACAGGGCTGGCTCCTGGCACTTCCAGGCCCTCCAGGGGCACTGAAGGAAGGCACTATAGTTCAGCTTCTCAGCCTGCAGGGAGCATCCAGGGAGGTGGGCCTTGGTGATAGGATATAGCTGAAACCTTTAAAAGCAACAGGTCCAACACCTGCAAGGAGCTGCACTGTCCCATGACATGCCACAGTCCACAGGCCCTGAGAAGAGTTTGTACAACAGCCACGGCAGCTGCACTGTGCCAAAGCAGAGGCCTACCTGCTTCCCAGGCCAGCACCCTACACTGGCTGTCCTCTTACCAGGCTCCCAGACTAGGAGTCTAAAAGACCACAGGTGAGGCTGGAAGGCTGGGTAGGGGCAAGTTTTCCTCAGTGGGTTGAGGCATACACAAGAAAGCAGTGGGGAAGAGTCAAGGAGAAAGGCAGTCAAACAATAGAGCAGTCAGTTTATTAAACTAAGGAGTTGACAGGCAACATCACCTGCAGAATAGTGTTGGGGGGCTACTGGCCCATATCTTTGAAACAGAGAGGCGAGCTGACTCAGGCTCTGCAAAAATCACTGAATGGGAATTTGGTAATTGATAGTCACAATTACCTGCTCAGAAAACGGCAAAGTGAACAAACTGCAGTAAGTTATGGAGCTGGCTGCCAGTGCCCAAGCTGCTCCACAAGGACTGAGACTGACCTGTTCTCAAGCCCTCTCACCTGTTGCCTCAGCAAAGCGCTCTCCTAATTACTAACGGTGAGCACAGACAGAGGCGTGGTAAATTGCTCAAAAGGGCCAGGTAGAGTCCTTCTTGGAAGCCAGAGAATGAATAGAAAAACTGCCAAAGACTCCACCTCAGCCTCTTTAGAATGACCTATAGATGGATGTTTTTCATAGGAACAAGGGACCCTTCTGATCCATTCTGAACAAATTCTACCCCCACCCCCAAGTGCTATGTAGAGGGGACTCAGGACCAACAGAGCAAGAACTACCTCAAAGACAGGCCATCTATGATCCTACTGCTTTCACAGACAAGGGTCAGCGCACGAGGATTATAAAACTTAAAGTCTGGTCCAGCTGATTCAGTTGGCTTTCCACCACAGCTCCTGAAGGTTCCCAATTTTGTGTCCACTTTGGCTCAAAGACAGAACCACACAATCCTCAAAAGAGGGAACCTGCAAACCTGGAGCCAGGTGAAACAAGAAGCTTTCATTTCTAAACATGAGAGTGGGTCATGCTTTTAGAATTCTCCAAGATCAGACCGGGCAGAAATAGTGAATATGTTATTTCTTTTTTTTTTTTTTTGAGACAGAGCCTCAAGCTGTCCCCCTGGGCAGAGTGCCGTGGCATTACAGCTCACAGCAACCTCCAACTCCTGGGCTCAAGCGAGTCTCCTGCCTCCGCCTCCCAAGTAGCTGGGACCACAGGCGCCCGCCACAACGCCCGGCTATTTTTTGGTTGCAGCCGTCGTTGTTTGGCGGGTTCGGGCTGGGGGTCCTGAACCCGCCACCTTAGGTGTACATGGCTGGCGCCTTAGCCGGTTGAGCTATAGGCGCCGAGCCTATTTCTTGAACATTTCTCTAGGAGACTCAAATTGAAGGATAATTTGAGGTCAAATTGAAGGATATGAAAAGAACTTTCTGCCTGGCAAGAAGGTTTAACACCCAGACACACCATGAAAGCGGTGGGCTCTCTAGCCTCAGAGAAAATGAGCTACCTGACTGGCAGCAGACAGCTCAGGTCCCTGACAAGGTCTAACTAATGCAGCCCCATAACCTACCCAGACAGATATCAACCTGATACCTTTACCATGCCTGGGCAAATGAAACAGAACCCTAACATCAGCCTCCCTCTTAGATCCACAGGAAATTAAGGTCCTAAGGAAAAAGGAAGGAGAAGAGAGACTTCAAGAGAACCTGTTCAGTGACCAACATCAGAGGAACCTTCAATTGGTCAAAGATTCTCTTTTTTTTTTTGAGAGAAAATCAGCAGCTGGTTCAAGCTACCAATAACAAAAGAGGCAGATCCCTGCCAGCCTCAGGGCTATCAGGCCGGCAATCTATTTCAAAACTACTCAAAACAGGAAAAAATGTTCTGGAGCCAGTACAGAGGGAAATAGGTTGAGGACCACAGGCATTCTCTGGGGCATAGCTTCTGGGGACTTCTCATAGTTCTTTGGGATGGGGCACAGGGTGGAGGGTGGGAGTGAGGGTAGAGACAGCCTGGAGTAACATGGTTTACGTGTATTCCACACGTCCACAGTAGAAAGCAAAAGAACCCCGTTTCCTGAAAGGGGAAAAAGAGTTGGATGAGGCCTCTGGCTAACACCTGGCACACACCCAACTCACCACAGTCTTGTCTCTCCCCAAGGGTTAGTAAGAGTCAACAGACCAATAAAGGGGAAGTATTAAAGCCAAGATTAGAAGAATAGCCTACAAATTGGGCATCATCTCTGATGAAACAGCCAAGTGAATTCTACCACAAGATATACCCGTTACGTACCTCAGACATTCAGCCCCTTTATTCAGTCAGGGTCTGAACACTCACCCCACCCAACTGCAGGTCAAATAAAAGCAGAGTAGAGATAATGCTTCTCCCTGAAGCAGAGGCAAAGAACTGAGAGAGAAAGACGTGGGTGACAGGAATGCAGGGGTCAGGGCTGATATGAAGGAAAGCACAGAGGAGCAAAAAGAAAGCCTCTGGAAAGAGACTTAGGTAGTCAGGGATGGCAGTATATGGTTGGAAAAAGCCTAATAACACACTGGAGAAGAGGATGAGGACCTGCAATACTAGGAGGGATCAGACAACGGGAGAAGGGAACAAGGTTGGGAAATGAGAGTAAAAACTGAAACGGCAAGGATGGGCAGGAGACAAGGATAACGCAGGGGACAGAGAAGATCCCCAAGGAGATCCTAGGTAGGCAGGGCAATGGATTTGAGGACACCAGAAAGGGATGAAAGAAGAGGTCAGAGGCAGGGAAGAGGAGTGGGAGAGGACTCCAGGCCTGAGACAGGGCACTCAGAAGTGGGAGGGGACGGAGCCACGAGGCCCAAGAGGGGGCAAAGAGTCGGGTGGAAGGAGGCCCGTGGTTCAGGCTCGAACAGCTATGGGGGTCCAAGAGCCGGGGCCGCAGGAACAGCG